ACGCACCGCATCGCCAATGTATCGCCGATGCATCGGGATGTCGGTGATGCATCGCCGCCAGCGGCGTGGAGAAAATCCAGCTCCGTATCGAGGCGCATCGCCGATGTATCGGCGATGCGGCGCAATCCTCCGACCCCATCTGATCTCTCGGACAAAATTTGGGAGGCCTGGTTACTGCTCACCTTGGAGGGGGCCGTGGGTCTGAACTGGATGGGCCTTGAGAAAATCTGTCAAGAATGGGGGACAAGGGCAAATCCGCTGAAAATCGGTCCCCGGACCCCCCCGTCTGGTGCTGTTTCACTGCAGACTCGTTGTTGGCGGTCCTGGGGCCCGAAGCCGGCCCCCAGAGGCCGTGCAGGCGAAAATCCTTCTCGAACCCACCACCCCGAACCTCGCCGCCTCTTCCTTCAGGAGGGAAAAAAACACACAGACACAATTAATCGTCGATCCCCAAGAAAATATGGGAAAATATGGGAAGTGGGGGGGAAGACAAAAACCCAGAAAATATGGGGAAATATGGGGCATATGTTTATTTGTGTGTATTTATTTGTGTGTCCTGGGGCCCCTTGATTCCTGCTCGCTGGAACCAGTGCTGGGCCACCTCAGACCCCCCGCCGGCTCGAACCCGCACCCCCCTCCTGGGCGCCTTCGAGCCTGCAGGCTCCCTGGGACCTCGGGCCTCGGGCCTCGGGCCTCGCAGACGAAGGCCTCGGCATCGGCATCGGTCGGACCCCGGCCTCGGCTCGTAGGCCGAGGCCTCGACCGTGGCCTCGGCCCTGCCCCGGCCTCGGCTCGAAGGCCTCGGCCCCGGCCTCGGCTTCGGTCGGGCCTCGGCCGTGGGCCTCTCGACCTCGGCCGAGGCCCGCGGGGGGCACCCCTGCAGGCCAGCGTGCATCGCTCGGCCCGGCCCCTGGAGTTAGCTCGGGCGTGTCCCCCTCCAGGCGGATGTTGGGCGAAAAATTGAAAATACTCCAAAAATACCCCCAACATAGCCAACAAATAATCACTTCTTGGGCAATGTTTAGAATATTCCTCCTGTAGAGGACAGGCCCGACTTAACCCTAGAGAAGCGAGCCGGTCACCTCCTGCTCCTCCTCCTCCTCCTCCTCCTCCTCCTCCTCCTCCTCCTCCTCCTCCTCCTGCTGCTGACCCTCATACACGGGCTCCTCCTCCGCCTGATCCTGCTCGTTATGCTCCGCTCGCTTCTCCTCCCGCTCGCGCTCCTGTTCCTCCTCCTTCTGCTCGCTCTCCTGCTCCTCCTCCTGCTCCTCCTGCTTCGGCCCCTGCTCGTGCTGCTGCCTGCTGCTGCTCGTGATCCCTGCTTCTCCACCTCCTGGTCCTGCTCCTACTCGTCCGACTGCTGATTATCATTTCATCATATTCATCATCATTACCACCATCATCACCATCATCATCATAATCTAATTCATAATAATCATCATCAGCATCGCCAGAATCATCATCATCACCACCATCACCATCAGCATCAGCAGCATCACCATCACCATCGTCATCATCAGCACCATCACCATTACCATCACTATCACCATCAGTATCAGTATCAGCATCATCATCATGATCATCATGATCGTCATCCCCATCATCAACGTCATCATCACCATCAACATAACCATCATCATCAGCATCATCCTCCCCATCATCATCGGTATCCTCCTCCTTGTCGTCCTGGTCCCCTTCCTCCTCTTCTTCCTCCTCCTCCTTTTCCTCCTCCTCCTCCTCCTCCTCGGCATCGTCATCATGCTCCGCATCATATGTCATCATGAGCATCACCATCATCACCATCAGCATCATCATTCTTATCATCAGTATCCTCCTCCTTCTCCTCCTCCTGGCCCTCCTCATTCTCCTCCTACGCGTCCTCATCCTCCTCCTCCTGATCCTCGACATCGTCATCATGATCCGCATCATCAGCAGCATCGCGCTGCAATGTCATCATCGTTCATCACCATCAGCAACATCATCCTCATCATGAGCATCATCATCATCATCATCATCATCATCATAAGCAGCATCACGACCATCATCATCAACATGAGCATAATCACCATCATTGTCATCACCACCATCATTACCACCATCATCGTCATCATCACCATCATCATCCTGAGCCTCATCCCCACCATCATCGTCATCCTCATCAGTGCCCACCTCCTCATCGTTCTCCTCTTAATCCTCCTCCTCGGCATCGTCATGATGATAAGCATCATTTGCAGCATCGCGCTACAATGTCATCATCGTCATCCTCATCCTCCGTCTCATCATAATCATCCTCATCATCATCCTCATTACCACCACCACACCCGCCACCACATGTATCATCATCACAACTGCTACTGTGATCCCTTCTTCCTCACCTGCTGCCGCTTCTCCTCCCCCTTCATCTACTCCACCTCCTCCACCTTCACGTGTACGTCCTCCTCCAACTCCCCATCCCCCTCCTCCCCTCCCTCCTCCCCCTCCCCCTCCTCTTCCTCCTCCTCCTCCTCCTCCTCTTCCTGATCCTCCTCCTCCTCCTCCTTCTCCTCTGAATCCTCATCATCATCCTCATCGTCATTAGCATCGTCATCGTCATCCTCATCGTCATCATCATCATCATCATCATCATCATCATCATCATCATCATCATCATCATCATCATCATCATCATCATCATCATCATCATATTCATCATCATCATCACAATCATCATCACAGGGACGATCATCATCATGGGCATCATAATAATCATCACCAGCAGCAACAACAGCATCATCATCAGCATCATCACCATTACCATCACCATCACCACCAACACCATCACCACCACCATCAGAACCATCAGCATCATCAACAGCAGTAGATGCATCAGCATCATCATCATCATCATCATCACCATCACCATCCAACATCATCATCATCATCATCATCATCCTCATCATCATCATCATCGTCATCATCATCATCAACATCATCATTCGCATCATCATCAGCATCATCACGGTCCTCATTCTCATCCTCACCGACATCATTCTCATCCGTATCCCCATCCTCATCCACATCTGTTTCATCCTCCTCCTCCTGCTCGTCATTCTCATCCTCATCTTCGTCCTCATCCTCATCCGCCTCCTCCTCCCCTACCACATCCACATCCAGGCATTCGGCGGTCCAGGCTTCTGTGCGGGCTCAGTCTGGATAAATGCTCTCCGATCTACTCTTCTACAAATTATGCGGGCATCGGTGCAGAAGGCTGCACGGGGCCTCTTGGCCGAGTGTCAAGGCCCAGACCGTCCAGGCCTCAACACACAACATTCGAGGCTGAGCCGTGATCTGCTTCCCAACTATAATGTGGGAAGCGCCGCCATGGGCCCTGCCGTCGGGCCGTCGGTTGCGATCAAAGTTGTCTGGGGTCCTTTGCTTGAGCGCGGTGGGGAAGCCAGACAGAACGGCTGTAGGGTAATCCGCTTCGGCCGACGCGGTTGCGGAGCGGAATCCCAGCGTGGTGAGTCTGTCCTGCTGTGACGCCTCCCGAGTCGCCCAATTGCACGGCTTCCGTTTCCCTGAGGCGATGGTAGAATCTGAGAAAACCCAACGCCGGCGTGAGGGAGTCGACACTACTTGTGGTGAGGAGGCAAATATAGACTAAACCTCTTCGTCGTCGCCAGCCTGCGAGGGGCCAATGAACGCCCCGCATCATCGGGATCCTCAAGACCCTCACATTCACATCCACCTGTTCCTTCCCCCACAGCCCCCTCCCATGTTGTCTTCGTCCTGATCATTTCTACTCCTTCTTCCTCTTGCTTCGTCCCATGCCCCCCAAACTCCCCATCCTTCTCCTCTTTCCACTACCTTCTCCTACCCACTCACCTTCACAGTATCCTTCTCCTCCTCATCCGCCTCCTCTCCCTCCGCTCAATCATTATTCTCCTCCTTCCTTCATCCTCCTCCCTCCCTCGTCCTCAATCGTGCTTCCTACTCCTTCCCTCCCTCCCTCTCCCTCCATCTCCCCCTCCCCTCCCCCCTCCAGCTTCCTCCTCCTTCCTTCGTCCTCCTTCCCCCCCTCCTCCTCCACCCGCCCTCTCCATCCCTCCCTCACTGCCCCCCGTTGCTCCTCCTGCCCTGCTCCTCCCTCCCTCCCTGCTTCATCCTCCCTCGTCTTGGCCCGTCGGACTCCACCGAGTCTGACTTTCCCTCGGATGACACTTACATGTTTGGCTCTTCTTGGGAGAGTCGAGCCCCGCCTCCTCCTCCTCCTCCTCCTTCTCCTCCTCCTGCCCCTCCTGCTGCTCCTCCTCGTCCTCGTCCTCCTCCTGCTCCTCCTCCTTCTCCTCCTCCACCTCATCCTCCTCTTCCTCTTCGCCACGTTTCTCTTCTTTCTCCTCCTCCTCCTCCTCCTGCTCCTCCTCCTGCTCCTCCTGCTCCTCCTCCCTCTCCCCCCTCATCCTCATCCTCCTCATTCCTCCTCCTCCTCCTCCTCCTCATCATCATCAGCATCAGCATCAGCATCAGCATCAGCATCAGCACATCAGCATCAGATCATCATCATCATCATCATCATCAGCATCATCATCATCATCATCACCACCACCATCATCATCATCATCATCATCATCATCATCATCATCATCATCATCATCATCATCATCATCATCAATCATCATCACCATCATCATCATCATCATCATCATCATCATCATCATCATCATCATCATCATCATCATCATCATCATCATCATCATCATCATCATCATCATCATCATCATCATCATCATCATCATCATCATCATCATCATCATCATCATCATCATCATCATCATCATCATCATCATCATCATCATCATCATCATCATCATCAATAATCACCATCATCCTTCCTCCTCCTCCTCATCCTCCTCCTCCTGCCCCTTCCTCCTCCATTTCCCCTCCTCCTGACCATGCGAGCCTTGGCGTGGGGCCCGTACTTCCGCCGGACCTCGTCCGCCTCTGACTCCGCCTCGGTCTTCTCATACTTCCACAGCCTTGCAAGGGCAGCCGACACCGCAGTGACGGCGAGGCTCGGCCTAACTCCTCCTCCTCCTCCTCCTCCTCCTCCTCCTCCTTCTCCGTCTTCGCTTCCTCCTGCTTCCCCTCCCGCCCTCCTCCTCCTCTCTCCTCCTCCTCATCCTCGTCCTCGTCCTCCTCCTCCTCCTCCTCCTCCTCCTCCTTTCTGACTTCTCCACCTTCTCATCATTATCCTCGTCATCACACTCTCTTTCCCCATTCCTCCTCATCCTCCTCATCATCCTCCTCCTCCTCCTCCTCATCATCATCATCATCATTCATCATCATCATCCTCATCCTCATTATCATCATCGTCATCATCACCATCAGCATCAGCATCAGCATCAGCAGCATCATCATCAGCATCATCACTATCCTCCTCATCATCATCATCAGCATCATCAGAATCATCCTCTTCCTCATCCTCGTCCTCATCACCATCATGAACACCATAATCATCATGAGCGTCATCATCAACAACATCAACATCAGCATCAGCATCAGCATCATCCCCCTCATCACAATATTCCCCCTCCCTCCTCCTCCTCCTCCTCCTCCTCCTCCTTCAACTCCTCCTCCTCATCCTCCTCATCCTCCTCCTCCTCCTCCTCCTCCTCCTCCTCCTCCTCCTCCCCCTCCTCCTCCACGTCCTCGGCAGGTGTTATATCATTGTGTCTGTGCAGGGGAGAGAGGGGGGGGGGCCAGCATCGCCGCCGGCAGTCCGCTCATAAACACAGGCACGAGTGTTCGTGACGGCCAGATGCAATGAGCACATACTCGGAGGCCGGACCTCAAGAAGAGAGAGGATGGTGGTATTGATGACTAGGCTACTATCGATGATGGCGACGATGCTGAACACGATGATGACGATGGTGGCGATGGTGATGGTGGCGATGGTGATGATGATAGTGATGATGATATGACGATGATGGCGATGATGATGATGACGATGATGATGATGATGATGGTGGTGGTGATGATAGTGATAGTGATGATCATTTGATGATGCTGACATGATGGTGATGATGCTGCTGATGATGATGACAGTGATTGGGGATGATGAAGACGGGGACGACGATGGAGACAATGAGGATGACGACGACACTGACGATGACGATGGTGATGATGATGCTGCTGATGATGATGACGATGCTGCTGATGATGATGATGACGATGACGACGACGACGGTGCTGCTGCTGATGATGATGATGCTGATGATGATGATGAGGACGATGCTGCTGCTGATGATGATGAAGATGATGATGATGACGACGATGATGATGACGACTATGATGATGATGACGATGATAATGATTACGATGCCGATGACGACGACGACGGTGCTTCTGCTGCTGATGATGATGACGATACTGCTGCTGCTGCTGATGATGATGAAGATTATGATGATGATGACGACGATGATGATGACGACTATGATGATGATGATGATGATGATGATGATGATGATGATGATGATGATGATGATGATGATGATGATGATGGTGATGGTGATGGTGATGGTGATGGCGATGGTGATGGTGATGATGATGGTACTGCTTATGCTGATGATGATGATGATGATGATGATAATGCTGATGATGATGACGATGACGATGATGATGATTATGACGATGACAATGACGATGACGATGGTGATAATGCTGCTATTGATGATAATGAAGATGAAGATGAACATGAGGATGGCAATGACGATGACGATAACGACGACAACGACGACGACGATGATGATGATGATGCTGCTGATGATGATGCTGATGATGATGTTGATGAGGATGATGAGGATGATGACGAGGAGGATTGAATAGAGGAGGAGTGAGAAAGAAGGACAAATGACGAAGAGGAGGAAGGGGAGGGGGAGGGGGAGAAGGGTCTCGTCCCTCCTCCCAATCTCCTCGCCGCCCGCCTCCCACTGTTGAAATGTGTGTTCTGGGATTCAGGTGATCTCGCCTGAGGGTCTGGCCGCGCGCGCACCAGTGCTGCAACCTTTCTCCGCCTCGTCGCTGCGCGCGAGGCCGCGACCGCCAAAAGTGTGTGTGTGTGTGTGTATGTGTGTGCGTAGGTGCAGGTGTGTGTAGGTGTGTGTAGGTGTGTAGGTGTGTGTGTAGGTGTGTGTAGGTGTGTGTAGGTGTGTGTGTGTGTGTGCGTGCGTGCGTGTGTGTGTGCTGCTCCTGGGTGAGGTTGTAGACAGCGTTCTGGCGATTCTTGAGGTCGCGCGTGCAGTCGATGCTGTCGCGCGCGGGGCCGCGGCGGAGCTGCTCGGTGTCCGTCCTCTCCAAGGGGTTGGAGGCGGGCTGGGCTCAGCTGGCGCTGCCGGCGGGGTCCGGTGGGGCGACGCTGGCTCGGGGCCATGGTGGGCAATGTTGGGTCGCCGCGGCGGGCGCTGCGCGATGCTCGCCGCCAGGGGGGCCGTCATTGCCTCTGGTCAGAAGGTCTGAGCCGTGGCCCCAGTCTGGGCGCGAGAAAGACTTGCTGGTGCGCGCTGTAGCCATTGGCTGGCCGCGGACTCCCCGCCGTGGGGAGACCCCGCCGACTGAGCTCCAGGTGCCCCCACTGAGCCCAAAGGTTTATGAGGAACCGGCAGAGAGCCCCAAATGTGAAATCGCCAGGCTCGTTGAAGCTCTGCCCCGCCGAGGGCCGGGTGCGAAGCCCAACGCGCGCGAAAGCAAACCAGGCGTCGCGGCTGTCCCCGGCTTCGGCGAAGTGCCCGACGACGGAGGTCAGCTCGGCGGCGCCCCGCTCGCGGAGAGCGTCGGCCAGCGGCTCGACGGGCGGGGGCCCAACTGCCCCGAGACGGGCGCTGGGGGCGGAACCTCCGGCGGCCGCGGGTGGCCGGGTCCCGTTGTGTGCTGGTCTGGCGGGAAGGATGGGCGGTACCTGTGGGCCGGTTCCCAGAGGGGGTCGTGGCGATGCTGGCGTCTTCCAGCGCGAGGCAGACCTGGCGGGAGGAGCGCGGCGCATCGCCAGGGGGCTCTGGCGGAACGGCGGGTGAGAAGTGCTCGACGGTGGCCAAGAGCGCGCGCTCGTCGGGGCCGGAGACGAGCCGGCTGTGAGTGGTGAGCTGGCACCGCCCCTCCTCCGGCTCCGTGACGTTCCCGTCGCCAGGCGCGCGCGTGACGGCGCGAACGACCGCCTTCAGCGACAATTCGATCGCGGTGCGCATGTCGACAGCGTGGTCAGGGGAGACGCGGGTGAGGGCCAGTGCCTCGCGGCCCGCGGCGTGGCAGGCCGCGGCGAGGCCCAGGAGGGCCTCGACGTAGTCCCCACAGTTTCTGAGGTCGCCGCTCGGGAGCGCGTAATCGTCGAGCTCGGGCAGGGCAGCCATCCCGAGCAGGCCCCGCACGAGGTGAGTGTGGCGAAGCGCAGAAGGGAGGACCCCGTGCGTCCCGCGAGGGAGCGACGGTGGGAGAAGGCGCTGGGTCAAGTCAGGCGGGGGATCTCCCTGATGCAACGGGCAGTTGCGCGAGGCCTCGGTGAGAAACTTCGCGATGTACCGCTCGTCGCCGCGCCCAGCCTTCTGGCTCCTCAAGTCGGAGCTCTCGATCCGAACGGGCATGGTGAGAGCCTCGACGAGGTCGCCCAGGAACGGGCCGCGAGATGTCTGGGCCGAGGCCCGAGCAGCGCAAGAAAGCCGTGCCACCACAAGGTGAGAGTGACGTTACCAGCGTCGCGCCCGAGCATGGGGTGAAGGTTCTGCGCGAGCTCGGAGAGCATCTGGCAGTCGGCGTCGGGAGCGTCGTGAAGGGGATTGGCGTAGTGAACGGTGCGCCCGAGGGTGAAGGCCAGGATGGGCAGGACTGCGGAAGCGGCCGGCTCCTCGCAGACGAGGGCGGGACAAAGGCCGGAAGGCGGCGGCCTGCGCAAGGAAACCGGGAAGGCCTTCTCTTGCTGCGCGGCGACGGCCTCGGCGCGGGCCTCGGCGCGTTGGGAACGCCTGGCCAGGGCTGGGAAGGCGCCATCCGCGTCCTCCAGGCTGACGCGCCTGAAGGCGACGCCCAGCGCAGGGGTGCGATGCCCTGTGTCGTCACGCTGCGCCAGCAGGCTGGCAGTGGAGGCAAACTTCAGCAGGTCATGAAGCTTGGCGTCCTGGCTGGCCTGGGCAGTGCCGGCGTTCATGACGAGGATGCTGGCGCTCATGCCGCGCGCCAGGGCCGACGTTGATACGGCGGGCGCAGTCCGTGTGCCCGAGGAAGTACCTGCCGTAGGAGCGCACGCGCGTGACGATGCCGAGGTCGGCCTCGTCGCCCTGCATCTGATCGATGGAATAGAGCGTGACGTTGTCCCACCGGTTGAGAAGGCCTGGGACGGAGGCGGGCGTCGCGAGGATTCCTTGGGAGCGCTCACAGGGCTGCGGCTGTACAGTCCCGCCGAAGGCCGCAGTAGCACCGCTCAGGGGCCACCCTGTGTTGAGCACGGCAGCTTGGAGGCGGCAGGGCATGATGACCATAACAGAGATGTGGCGGCCAATGAGCGGCATGATGACCGACCGCAACAGAGATTTCGCACCAACTGCTCCCCAGCCCGTGCCTCGGTTGGATTGCAGTAGCTGGAGGGCACGTGAGACAAAGGAAGCCGTCTGCGTCGCTCACAAGGGAGGCCCCGAGCTCGTCGAAACAATGACGCAAGGCGCGTGGTGGGCTATCGCCGGAGGCCTGCGTATGCGTGTGCGTGTGCGTATGCGTGTGCGCGTGCGCGTGCGCGTGCGCGTGCGCGTGCGCGAGCGCGTGCGCGTGCGCGTGCGCGTGCGCGAGCGCGTGCGCGTGCGCGTGCGCGTGCGCGTGCGCGTGCGCGTGCGCGTGCGCGTGCGCGTGCGCGTGCGCGTGCGCGTGCGCGTGCGCGTGCGCGTGCGCGTGCGCGTGCGCGTGCGCGTGCGCTTGCGCGTGTGCGTGCGTGCGTGCGTGCGTGCGTGCGTGCGTGCGTGCGTGCGTGCGTGCGTGCGTGAGT